CCCGATAGAGGAGGACCGTTCTTCGGTCAAGGGTATACGAGCAGCTGCGCTCCCCTGCTAGAACCTCCAAACAAGCTCTCAAGAAATGCAGAATCTGAGGCTTCAACCTGTACGGATTCAGAATCTGCATTTTAACCAGATCCTAGGTGATTCGCCAAACTCACCAATTCTCAGGTCACCACTGAACATTATTTGGTAGAAGGTAAAAAATAAGCTCACTATACACCCACTGTCACCACAGAAGGGAAACAGCGCATCAGCTTGTGAGAGTTCAACCTAAGAGCCCAGAGGCCCGCTCCAGCTTGGGCACCGTGCTGTAGATCTGGTCCCAGCTCTGTGTGGTCTGGAGGATGTCACAGGAGCTCAGTCCGTCCACAAAAAAATTAATAAACAATTCAACAATACCTGATTGTCTCTTAGATGCTTCAGCTTTAATGTTTTGATTCTAAAGTCAAATTGTGGTTTTTTTGTTTTTTTTTTTTTAAAGAGCCAAAGATGTCTTCCAAAAGGATACTGAGGGGTTAAAGGGATTTTTATACGAAGTATAACAGTATTGAAAGCTTTGCTTAGAACAGTGTGCCTGAATGTGCAGAGCAAGAAGAAAATCTTTCTTATTAAGAATCAACAGAAGTAAATTGAAAATATATTTGGCCTAACCCAAAGATTTACAAAAGCTAACTCTAATAAGTAGCCTATCCCAGTATATAACCATCAAGCTAAAAGGATCCTCGATCTGAACTGAACGTGTTCCTGATCAAAAGAGTGACTGTATTTTCCAAAAGACTAAGGGCATACGTGTTACATTCTTCAACGGTTTCCACACTTGGGGGAATAATCTCCTGGTCAATCATGAGTTTTTCTTCATAACTACAAATTAAAACCTCTATTCAACTCACCACTAGCATTTTCCCTCGCTCCCACCCTTCACTGCATCTTTTCCCACAATCACTGGTGTACTGCCTATCGACACTACCTTACAAACAGAAACCTCCAAGAATAAGTTCAGTAGTTAATCAATAGCACCCACGTGGGATACAACAGACACAGGAAGAGAAATAACTAGCCCACTCAGGGATGTTAGGACACCTTGTCCTCATTAAGCTATCACTGTTAAAGAAAGGTAGCCTTCTTTTAAAAAGGAAATTTATTTGCTGTGGTTTTATCAAGTATTTTCTGAAATTTAAAAAATTTAAATAGTGCCCCCGAAGCTACATGACAGTTCCTTCGTTCCTGCATCATTCAAAGACCTTAATGTCTTAACTTGACTCTACCTTTTCTCCCAGTTCAGCAAATCTTGTTGGCTCTACCTCCAAAATAAATCCAGACTCTGACCACCTCTTACCAAATTCACTACCTCACTCAAAGTCACCACCATCTACTGCCTGGATCACAGTATAGTCTCCTGTTTGACTTCCCTATCTCCCTCCCCCCACCTTAAATTACAGCCAGGGTGATGCTGTTGAAATGTACATCATATGGTGTCATCATTCTGCTCAGCATCTTCCAATGGCTCCTCATCTCAGAGCAAAGCCAAAGTTCTTACAACGACTTACACAGCTTTATGGGATCTAGCCAACAATTTCTGCTGCTCCCCTCCAATAAACCTCTTTCCTCTACTCTCCCTCAGATTCTCTCCACACCAGCCTTGATAGCCTCTTTACTGTTCTTGGTCTATGATGGGCACACTCCTGGCTCTTGTATTCTGTCTGGAACGCTAGCTTGCTCCCTACCTTGTAGGTTTCTCTGCTGAAATGTCTTTTCTCATTTGTGTTCTTGGCTGCTTTACCGAAAATGGTAATCTCTCTCCCTGTTGTCCTTTTCTCCTTAGCATTTATCACTACGTAACATACCGTATATTTTATTTCACTTTCTAAATTATGTTTCTCCCAATTAAAACTGAATTCTGTCAGTTTTATTTGTGCTATAAGCACAGTGCCTGGTGCTCAATAAATAGTTGTTGAGCAAATGAATTTTTCTTACCTAAGTTTACCTGGAGAAAAAGAAGAAACACAAAACTGTTAAGTCATATAAACCAGAACCACGGAAAAGTACCTTTTAGTCTCGTTTTTCATCTCATGTTGCTCTCTTTTCTTTTCCATCATTTTCCCCCATCTGTTCTTTGGCAAATCTCTCTGAGGCAACGGTATTGCATGCTGAACATAAAGATCAGTAAGATTGTCTTTGTTTATTCTTACATCATTTTCAACAGCTATGTTCTTCTGTGGAGAAGGAAACAAAAGTCATTTCAAAATAACATCCTTTGTTTTAATTACTACCTACATAACACGGTAGAACGTTTCTGTTTAAATAACAAATTTTATAATAATAAAATTTAGTAATTATATAATATATAGTTACTTATAATCATAAAATGTATCGTATAATATATAATCTTATTTATAATTTATAACCATAAAAATCAATATAATATACTCATAATTTAAATTTCCAATTATTATATATTTAATATAATTACAAAATTTGTTATTTAAGTCAGAGATTGTTATCTAAGTCTTACACGGACTTACAGGGACTTCAAGTACACCGCAGTCCTATACAGTTCTCTAAGAAGTACTATTATTAAGAGATTCAGCTCTGCAAACATCAGGTTCAGCCGCATCTTAAAGACAATGGCCACACGTTCACTATGACAAGGACTGCAGCTCACATCTGGTCAGCCAGCATACCAGGCGCGAAGACCATTTCCAGCAGCATCATCTTTTTTTTTTTTTTTTCAACGTTTATTTATTTTTGAGACAGTGAGACAGAGCATGAACAGGGGAGGGGCAGAGAGAGAGGGAGACACAGAATCTGAAACAGGCTGCAGGCTCTGAGCGGTCAGCACAGAGCCCAATGCGGGGCTCGAACTCACAGGCCGTGAGATCATGACCTGAGCCAAAGTCGGATGCCCAACCGACCAAGCCACCCAGGCGCCCCCCAGCAGCATCATCTTAATCTAGGACGTAAACTGAAAATGGGAGACTGCCTGGGGAAACCGGACAAAAGAATTCCAACAGTGATGACAATTTACTACCTGCTGTCAAAGGTCACCCAGAGTGTTACCATCACGATCAAAGCGTGGGCTGTATATTGTTTCCCATGTCTCCCTAATAATGCTTAAGTTGAAGTTAACCACCAAGATTTCAGATGGCCCTACAGATGGAAACCGCAGTCCCTTACTGATGACCATCACAACAGTGCGTCATTACAACCTCCCTTTTACGTTTTCATCAGTCCTTTCTTTTTATTTTTAGTACTTAAAATTTTTTTTTCATGTTTATTTATTTTTGAGTGAGAGAGAGAGAGAGAGAATGTGGCCCTACTTACTGAGCCACTCAGGTGCCCATCACCAGTCCTTTCGAGTAGCTTCCGGTCACTGTCCATCAACCTTGTCAATATTACCTCATTCTCCCTCATTTTCCAATTTGCTCTCAACATCACAGAAAACATACAGCATAAAGAGAAGGAGTAGCTATGGATAGAGTTTGGATTTAGGAAGGAAAACGAAGATGGTAATGAGACCATGGACTCCTCAACTGCAATTCAGAAAAGCTTGGAAACATATGTGCTCAGCTTAACTGGCAAAACAAGCCCAATCTTTGTGCTCTGATAATTATCCCACTTACTGTTTCCTTCCAAATTTAAAAGCACAAGTAGTACTTTTCTCTCTTATACTTGACCACCCTTTGTTATCAATTTTCACCCTCTATACACTTAGAGATACGGAAAAACCCTGGAGAGTCTCCTGGATAACATTCCTAGGGAATTCATAGGCATGTTAGTTTGGGACGCACTGCTCCAGGGTGGTGATTCTCAAACTGTGGTCCCTGGACAAGCAGCAAGAACTTGTTAAAAATGCCAATATTCAGGCCACACCCCGGACCTACTCAATCAGACACTCTGGGGATGGAGCCCAGCAATCTGTATTTTAATGAACCCTAGAGTGATTCTGATGTACTTAAAAAGTGTGAGAACTGCAGGTGAAGGGTAATTGATATCAATACATCTGCAGGGCACTTGAGGAAGTTAGAGAAAGAGTACTGAGGAGAAAACACAAGGAAAACCACAAAGCAAGCTACTTGAAACCACAAGGAAACTTTCAGTAATTCTCTACCACTTTAAACCGAACTCATCACTTCTTTTGTCTTATCTTTTGTTGACTATTAGAGGCCACATTAGCTCGAAAAGAGGATATGCTACATTGAGAGCCAGGAGTCCTGGTTTCTCCTCCTGGCTGCACCACTTACCGGTGGTGCGACCTTAAATATGTCACTTCACCTCTCCGAGACTCAGTTTCATCTTTAAACGAGGCGACACTATGAAAAAAGGGCGATTTCTCCGATGCTTCCCAGCCCTGACAGTCTCTGATTACTACCCTTCATTGCTACTACGATTCTTTCCCAGGCCCTTGCTCACATCCAGGCCGCGGGGGTCGCCTAGGACTTCTGTGTCGGAGCCATGAGAGACCCCAAAAAAGAGAAGTCCTAATTCCCAGGAATCCCTGATAGTCTAAGGACGTCTCTTTCCCGGATAGGGGCGTGGGGAGACCTGGTCGGTCCGTGTGGAGTGGACGCTGACACAAACCAGGCGGGACAAGCGACGGCGGCGGGTGTGTCCGCTGCCACTCAGGATTACTTGGGGCCGGCTCAAGTCCGAACCTCTCTCCCAAACAGGCCCACCCGCCTCGGCGCGCCCGACCTGCTCCAGGGTGAGGAGAAGGAACTCCTGGGACAGCAGCTCCGGGTGCAGCAGCAGCTCCGAATCAGTGCAGCTGCGACCGCCCACATCCCCCGCCATCGTCGTCGCCAGGAGACCCCGGCCGGCTACCCACAAGGCTCCGCGAAGGAAGCGTCCCGGAAGTGATGTAACGGGCGGGGCCTCGTTTGACGTCACTCTTAGTGCGCCAGGCGTCCGCTCCGCCTTTCGCGGCCGGCCGGGGTGCTGGGAGAGATCTTGCGGAGGGGACACTCCTGGGGGCGGTAGGAGCGAAAGGGACGTCCGCAGAGGAGACGACTGGCGTTTGACGCCTTGCAAGAAGAGAGGGGAAAACCAAGTTCCCAGAGAGGGTCACGATTGGTCGCGCTTCTTGTGACGTCCAATGGCAGAGGCCAAAGGGATTCCAAGGGCAGTATCGCGGGAAAGAGGCGAGGCAGCCTGACGTCCGTTACCCAAATTATAGCTCTGGTCGCCTCTGAAATTGTCTTAGTTTCTCTTTTTGACCTCTTTGTCCCCTAATCCTCTTCCAATATGATGTAAGGCCAGAGACTTTAATTCCTTGTAACCCCATGGCCTCCCACATAGTAGGCGCTCAAGTATTCCCCGAAATAATAATACTCCGAGCTGACCTCGCATATGAAAATAACGAAACCGCAGGTGACAGACAACAGCTAAACATTTGTTAGACATTTACGATGTGCCAGGTACTGGATTTTACATGGATAATCTTGCTCCTCAGAACACCACGATGAGGTGTATGTTATTAGAATGCTTATTTTCCAGGTGAGGAAACAGGGTAATTTGCTCAAGATCAGAGAATGAGGAAGTAGCAACACTGACAAGTACATTTTCTCTGCACTAGTTTCTCTACACATATGTATATTATTATACATTTGCTCTGCACAAATGACAAGTACATTTTCTCTGTACTTACAACTACAATGAAGGAACAGTTTTAGTTTAAATTGTTGCAGGTTCAAATATGATCTAAACCTTGATAATTCAAGACATCTTTTCTACTTCTTTCATCTTTTGTGGAAGAGATACATGTTCCAAAACATTAGGCACATCTAACACTTAAACTTGCAGGCATGTTGTAAATGCTTATTCTAAATACTCTATGATGTATCATTTTATTGGAAATTATTGCAGTGAAAAATGTGACCAAATCTGAGGATGTTAAAAGATAAACCTTGAAAAAGTTGGGAAGTAAATGAGGTGCCAGCTTAAAAAGATAAGGTAAAGCTGAAAGATGTTTTGCAATTTTTCTTAATCATTTATGTATATGATACTTCCGTCTAGAAACTGAATTTCAGAGCTGGGCAGAAACTTAAACGTTAGCCCAGTCTTTCATATTAGTGATGAGGAAGCTGATCTAAATGAAAGACATTTAAGATGACTTGCCCAAAATGGAACAGAGTTTAGACCCGAGTTGAGGCAGGCATTTGGATGTTCTAACTTGGAGTTAAGTGCATTAACTTCATGGTATTAGGATCATGGTATTTTATAACCAAAATCTGAATACATTTCCTTTTTTTTAAATATTTTGTAAAAACTATTTTTAGAGACAGAGAGAGAGTGCGTGAGCAGGGGACGGGCTGAGAGAGAGGGAGACACAGAATCCAAAGCAGGCTCCAGGCTCTGGGCTGTCAGCACAGAGCCCGACACGGGGCTCGAACCCACGAACTGTGAGATCATGACCTAAGCCAAAGTCGGAGGCTCAACCGACTAAGCCACCCAGGCACCCCTACGGTTCCCTAACAATAGTGAAATTAGTGTGACTGGTATCCCCATTTCCTTCACCGGAAAGCACATTGTTTTAATGGCAAAAGCAGTTGTCTTGGAAGGAACCTGGCCTTGAAAACTAGAACTTAGTTCAGATTTTGTTCTGCTGCAAAACGAGACGTTGGGTGAGTTACTCAAGTCTCTCAGCCTCAGTCTTATCAGAAACAAATGCTGTGCTAACATCTGTGAAGAATTATCAAAAGGAGTACAGATTATATAACACACTTGGCACAGAGCAGGGTACTCATTAACTGGTAGCTGGTTTTTAGAAAGTATTCGACCATAATTATGAGGCAGTCTAGCAAATTGGACAAAGGGAAGGCTTTGGAGTGGCTCAGACTTGGGTTCTAGCCTGGCTTCAGCACTCACCTAGGACAGATATTCCGTGTCTTTCCGCTGCAGTGTCCTCACCTGTAAAATGGAAATTGTAAGGCCACCCCACATTGTGCTGAGATTGGAGCTAGAGTCTGTAAAGTGCCTCCTCTGTAGCCACTACCTGGAGATTTGTTGTAGCCTATTGACTGTCAGCGAAGGAGGCATGTGGCATGATGGTGGTGTAGGTGGGGAAAAAATTGAGTTTAAGAGTCTGAAAATGTGATTATAGGTTCTTGCTGGGCTCTTTCTCCCTGTGGTTTGCTGAACCAATCACCTAACCCAAAGCCTCAAGCTTTTAATCAGCAAAAGTGTTTTGCAGGAGGTAAGATCTGTTCTTTTCTCTCCCTCTCTGTTTTTCCTAATTTCCCTGCTTTCCCTAACTTCTCTGCTTTAAAAATAATCTGTTAAGATAATTCCAGTTGCCTCGGAATCAAAAATCTCTAGAGGGAGTGTCCCCTGGGGCAGAAATAAAACCATCAAGATTCAGAGTGGAGGAAGTAGAATGAGATTCTAACAGTCCCCAAAGAAAGGAGAGACTATTCGGTAAAGCCTGCCACACTCCATCCTGGGCAGAGCCTGGGAGAGTGGAGCCTCGGAGAATTTGTGGTCAGGTGACTGTGCTTTAATCTGAGTCTCTGATGTAGGAAGTCGGGGTAGGGGAGAATTAGCATTTCTGACAAGTTCTGATGTGATGTTTTCAATATGTCCAGGCTGAAGAGCCACCTCACAGAGATTTCTGCCTCATCCCAGAACAAGAAAACCCAGACATTCCCTGACCCTCAAGCCAGGCCTGTCAATACGGAAGCCATAAAACTGAAAACCAAATATCCCAGTGGACAAAGAACATCTCCAAGTCCCCGTGATGCTAGGACCTGACATCTCTTGCTTCCCCTGTTGGCACTTCAGAAATTCCCCAACCTGATTAACACAGCCCTGGGAAAGGGAGAGGGCCTCAGTTGATAAGATTATTGTCACTGCAGCTGAGTGAGGGCTTGAAAAAGAAAGAAAGCTCAGTTACAGAAAACCTTCTGTTTGTTACCTATTTGAGTTTGTAGACTGAAGTTCATTCCTGCTATGCTGTTACCTGTGAGTGTGAACTAGTAGCCACTAGTTTTTAAGTTCAGTAATATAAGAATTTTCCCATTACTCAAAGATCATAGCGCTTTATTCTTTAACATTTTTACTTGGTGCCTATAGTTGACAAGAACAAACTGAGGGAAATCAACAAACACTTCCCTGCCTGGCATCATCACCTCACTGGGTTATGAGTTCTTCTGGGACAAGGTCCATACATTTCCTTTGAATCTCTTACCTGGTCATTAGCACACACGATGCCTGCACTTAGTAGGTACTCAGTAAATGTTGAATGAATGGGTCATGAACAAAATATGGACTGAAAACTTTGGGTGTTGATTCTTCTTGTTGGTAGTGTAATATTTAAGATACTTAGGTTCCAGGGACACCTGGGTGGCTCAGTTGGTTGAGCGTCCAACTTCAGCCCAGGTCATGATCTCCTGGTTTGTGAGTTCAAGCTCCACATCGGACTCCCTGCTGTCAGCACAGAGCCTGCTTCAGATCCTTTGTCCCTGTCTCTCTGTCCCTCCCACGCTTGCACTGTCTCAAAAATAAATAAAACCTTAAAAAAGAAATAAGATACTTATGTTCCAAATATTTTAGTTGTCAAAAATATATTTGAGCACAAATAAAATTAAGGAGCTTCAAAGTGAATGTAACAATTTAAAGAATACTTCACATTTTGACCTGTGTTTTTGTAGGTATTTAAAACCCCAGTTTTGCTTTGAATTTCAAATAACTACCTTCAGTACCACAATAATAATGACTATAGTTTTATTGTCACTTCTTACTCCTTTTACGATCAGATCATAATTAAGATGCGTTTGCATACTTAAACTACTCATCTCATAGGTCACCCCTTCATGAGCTCCTTGAAACAGTGTTTCATTTTTGGGTTCTCTCCTGTCACCCAACTTCTAGAACACATTATTTTTTGCATTAGGGGCTGTTTAGGTGGGTATTTCTTCCACATGTTCTACTAACTCAGGGTTTCTCAAAATTGAGAGAGTATTAGAGTGACCTGGAGAGCTTATGAAAAACAGTTTGCTGGGCCCTGTCCTGCAGTTTCTGATTTAGGAATTTTGGAGTAGGGACCCAAGAATTTGCACTTGCAGGTTTGGAGATGATGTGGGTACCGTTGAGTATCGACCATACTTTATAAACCATCTCACTAAATTAAGCTGCTTGAGGGTGGGGGCTGTGCCTTTTTCATTCCAGGATCCCCTGCAGCTTCTACCATAGTACCTGGCACATAGGAGTTGCTCAAGAAATAGCTGACTTGAATAATAGTTCAAAAAGTTTGTTGTACTGAATCTAGATTATAGGTATATGAATGTATGTGCACGTATCCTTAAATGAGCTGATACATAGTGTAGTGAGCTCTGTCTGCTAAAATAAAAACAAAAATCATTATTGTAACCTTTCTTTGCTTAACTTCATCTTCTAAAATGATACCCAAACATTCGAGAGGTGTACGCAGCAAGTCTGCTTATAAATGAGAGCAACAGAATCTTTGCAGTAAGAGCCTCTTTTAAAAATAACGTAATTTGTTAATATTGAGCATCAGGAATTAAAAAAACTTTTTTTAATGTTTATTTTTGAGAGAGAGAGAGAGAGAGAGAGAGAGAGAGAGAGAGAATGAGCGGGGGAGGGGCAGAGATGGAGGGAGACACAGAATCCGAAGCAGGCTCCAGGCTCTGAGCGGTCAGCACAGAGCCTAAGGCGGGTCTTGAACCCAGCCCCGAGCACCAGGAATTTTCAAAATTGGTTGAGTGGGATATTAAATTTGGGGAGTAGCTGGGAACTATGAAAGGAGTCAGTTGTATCTATTCAACTCTTAATTGTCATTAATCTGTTAGATTTCATCTTTTGTATATTCTATGAAATACGCCTAACGTGTTTGGTATGGGCCCTAGGGATATTTACTAAATATTAATAAATGAGGTTAATAATTCCTTTGCAAAACTTACAACTTTGATATTTCTTCTTCAGTGTAACCAATCAAAACAACATGAGGAACTTAGAATTAGTCTGATGCAGATACTTGCACACTTATGAAACAGCTATTTATATCCAGGTATCTGTCATATGTGAAACGGACTTTTCAGAAAGTTCCAGAGCAAATGTTATTAGACGGAATAATGTGCGCATGTGGAGCTTGCCATTTTAAGAATCCTATGGTAAACCTTTCATAAAGGAAATGATTATTTCGGAATTGCCCTTTCCCCCTCTTTTTTGTTAATACACGTTTTCACTTCTACATCGAGGCAGAACATAGGGGTTCCATAAACTGCTCAATCAATAGAATTTAATTTTATATATACGAACGTTCACTATGTTGTTGAATTTTGGGTTCTTATGCCCGCTCTACTCTTACTTCCATGGAATTTGGGACAAATCATTCCGTTTTCTTCGCCTCAGGCAACTCATCTATAAAATGGAGAAATTTGGAGCACCTGGGTGGCTCAGTCGGTTAAGCGTCCGACTTCAGCCAGGTCACGATCTCACGGTCCATGAGTTCGAGCCCCACGTCGGGCTCTGGGCTGATGGCTCAGAGCCTGGAGCCTGCTTCCGATTCTGTGTCTCCCTCTCTCTCTGCCCCTCCCCCGTTCATGCTCTGTCTCTCTCTGTCTCAAAAATAAATAAACGTTAAAAAAAAATTAAAATGGAGAAATTAACAGTGCCCACTTTATAAGGATATGGCAAGGCTTAAATGAGGTCATTGCTGTTAGGCCAGTATCTGGCAGTCAGGAGATAGCACCTCTGCAGCTAGTTTTGTGCAGCTCTCTGTACGATGGTAGATTAAAATGGAGAAGCACAAATTCTAGGCCCAGCTGGGTCAGTGATTAGCTGACGACCACTCACATTTTCTTCATGGGCCTGGGCAAAATGAGACTGGGCTGCATTTGCTCTGATGCCTTCCTGCTCCTGGGTTACCCTGGCTGCCGGCCTCCTTAGACTTGAATCCGTCCCTTCACTGCCGCTTGCCCTTGAAGTGCACTTGCTGGCCACAGCTCTACACTTCTGGGGAACCCGTTCCCCATCTGGACATGGGTACCACTGAGCAGAACAAGCACTGTTTGGGGTTGGGGCATGTGTGTGGCCATGAACTCACAAGGGAAAGGTGAAGGACAGGTCGCAGAACATTGCTTCTTTATTTCCTTCATTTACCTTTATTGCGGGGTCATTTGTTCCCCTTTGAAAAAGAAGAATCCAGTATTTGCCTCCCGGTTCAGGATAACATCTTTGTTTTACAATCCCTGGGAGGCCAGAAGAAAGCTGAGGCCACAGGTCACTGGTGGGTTCTAAAGTCAGAGAAAATCACTGAGAAAATGTGCCTTTTATATGCTAATAATTGAACGCTGACAAATCTGGAGGGAGCTTCCTTATTCATCTTAAAATTGGATTGTATGTGTTAAAAAGAGAGGTTCATGGATTCATGGTACCCCAGGATACTTCATTGTGGCTGGAAGAGCTGATGGACTTTGCTAGAAAGATTGGGTAAAATAGACCCAGGACTCCCTTTTAAAATAAATACCTCATGCAAATATACTGCTCTCTCTAGGGATTCCTTTTCGGCCCCAGGGGCCCTGTATTAGCTGTGGGCTCGGGGTGGGCAGCGCAGGCCCAACGGGACATTTCAGCCCCACAGGGAACACCACCAGCCAGTCAACTCAAGCCCAACTTTGTCAGATGATACCGTGGTCAGGCCTTTCCTAGGACTCCTTGATTGATTGCTTCATTCATTCATTCATTCAGCAGGATTTCCCGAGAGCCTACAGTCCGCCCAGCGCCGTGTCGGTGTCCGACATTGAGCGGTGAGCAAATCAGGCAAGGCCTGGGTTTTCCTGAAGCTCTGCGTGCCGATGGGGGAGGAGAAAATACATTAACAACAGTCCCGGGCCAGCATTTGTGGAGCACCCGCTCTGTGCCAGGCAGTGTTCTAAGCGCTTTACACGAATTAACTCCTCTGACCCTGCGCACCGCCCCGAGGCAGGAGCCGTTGTGATCCCGGCAGGTTGGAAGAAACTGAGGCCCAGGGGGGCGGTCCCACGTGGGCGTCGCGCGCCGAGCCGGGTAGCTCCAGGCCCGGGGGCGGATGGGCGGCGGGGGGCCGCAGACCGGGCTGGAAGGCGCGGGGACTGCCGCGCTCCCGCCCTCTGCCGGCGCCGGGCGGCCGCCCCACGTGACGGGAAGCGGCGGCAGCGGCGGGGCCGGGCCAGCCCAGGAGCGGCGGGCC